GAGGATTAATAATCTCTGCAAAAAAATTAATATGCTATTTTATAATATTCAATGTATAGTTTGAATACAACGATTAAATGAAATAAAGCATTAATATAAAACATATGGGCAAGCAATTGATGAAAGCATCATACAAGATATTTGTGATATGATTTTATTGCTCATTATGATAATTAGAATAAAAATAAACAAGAATTCTACTTATATTAATATAAATATACAAGAGTTAGTAAAATTGTATTCAAATGTGTTTGAATTGTTGAATGCAAATAAGATGCATAAAAAGAAACTAATTATGAAAAAATGGAAGATAAACTAATTTTAAATCATTTGATAATAATGTATATATAAAAATGATAGGTGATCTATATTAAACTCAAATCCATTAAAGAAACTCATTTACATAAGTTGTATAGAAATAATAATAATAATAATAAGTGATTGAAAAAATTAATGATATAATGAATTTGCCAAAACATTTATAACTAAAAACAGAATAAAATAAAATACAAAAAAAATAATTTTTAAATTTTTGAGTAAAATGTATTGCTCCTTATTCTAAAAATATTGAAAGAAAAATAAACAAGACATATCAAGTATCATATAATTTGGGTTCGGATGCCCACTTAATTTCCTTGATTTCTTTCTAACAAGTGGTCCAATTGAGCTCAAATTTTAGACAATAGAAAATAGAGTGTGTGCTACATACCTAATTTTCTTGGGCCTTGATAATCGATGGATCTTGGTGAATTGAATTTTCAAAGTTCTAAGTAATAATTTAACCAAAAAATTTATAAATTCATTTTAAAAAAATCCAGATAAAAATATCAATACACCACAAGGCCTTAAGATGGCCACAAACAGCAAGAAAACAGTCAGAGAATTACAATACACGTCAATGCCCAACAACCTGTATAAAATGAAGAAAAATATAACCCCAAAAATAATTGGATTCTGACCGGCACCTAGTTGCCAAGCTTGAGCCATCCAATGAGGAAAAGGTGATAACAACTGAAAATCCAAATGCAATCAGAACCCACCAAAATAGATATAGAAATAACAACCAAGGTTGCTAACCAAGTCATGGCCGTCTAAGGTGCGAGTAGGAATCCTGCTTCATCATTGTCTTGACCCGAATCCATCGCATTAAATAAAAACAATACCAAAATAACCACAACCAATACCCTTCCAAAAATAAGAATTATTTCTTTTGGGTTTACGTTTTCTATGCTTAACAAAATTTTTGAAAAAATTCAACATCCACAATTCGAAGAAGACTTAAGTCAAAGTTGTCCCTAACATCCAATTCTTTCTCATTAATTTCCTCCCCTCCAACTGAAGAATTGCTATCATTTAGCCAATCTCCTTGCTGCACTACATTATTCCTAGCAAAGTGAACTAACTCAATACTAGAAATAACAGAAATATGTAAATCAACCAGAGGCACCACAACTTTGTCATCACCCTCATCAGAAGCCACATCATCCGAATTACCCAGCTCAATCGAGCAACCACCCCTCCCAAAAGCTAAAGAAGCCTCACCCAACACTTGCACATCATTAGCATAAGTAGGACTATCTCTAAAGTTAATGCAACAATTATTGGCATTCATAAAACCATCAACTAAGATAGTATAATGAACAGTTGAAGGTGTTACATCCTCCCCAACATAAATGGGATCATTCGAGGGTAATACAGAAGCCAACAAACTACTAGCTATCACCGAAATACCAACATCATTTCCAACAACAACATCAGTAGGACCCAGATTCAGAGCCAAATCCTTGTCAACACAAGAGATAGCATTACCCAAATCCAGAGCTAAATCATTAACACAAGCATCCGCAAAAATAGGGCCAATAGGGGCCAAAGTCGCAGATTCATACGCATTCTCAATCAAAGTCACAGGCCCAATGCCACCTTCATTGCCTACAGAAACATTGCCAAGCTCATTACCTAAGACATCAATATCCACCTTGCCACTAACATTAAATGGCCAATATTATAATTTTCTAATCACTTACTAGTGAGAGCCAAACATTTAACCATAATTTTTGAATTACTACTTATTATCATTAAGATTAATAGGAATTCTGCTACTTTATGGCATATAACTATTTAACTCCTCAGCATAATCAAAAATTTTAATATGTATTTGCACTTTTTTTGGATTTATTTTTAAATTAGAGTTGCCATTGTTATGATGTAAAAAGTTTATATATATTCATTATTTATGAGAATTTGGTGTATTAAATTATTAGATATCACCAATTTTAATGCAAGAAGAAGGATCAAACTTAGAAATATACGAAGTTAAAATCCGAGTAAAAACACTATTTGTCACACATTTATTTATTATGGTAAGGAGATATTTCTCGAAACAATGAACATGTCATTGGTTCTATTAGTTAGTCCAAAAAAAGCAATGCGACTATAAGTGCAAGAAGGTTTCTTTAGAGGCAAAGAAATAGCTATTTGCTTGTCAAGGAGGAGAACAAAAATTATAAAAAAAAACGCATGGAACATAATCAAATAATCAAATTAAGTGTAATGAAGAATCTTGCAAATTCAGATATTCAAATGCCCGTGTTTATTGAAAATGTGATTATTATAATTAAATATTAGAATAGAGGCAGAATGGGGGAGAGTGATCAATAATTAATTTCTTCTTTGTTAATTCACCATCATTCACAAAGTTCTAGATTTGGGGTATCAATTTTTAACACGACCCGGATCCGATCTGGAAAAATCCTGGTTAGGATCAATCCGGACCCGAAACGGGTTGGGTTCGGGTTCAACAAATCAACCCGTTTTAAAAATCGGGTGGGGTTCGGATTGACCTTGCAACCCGAAAATGACCCGAAATTGACATGAAAACTTCTATTTGATTCAGAAACCCGAGGTTGACCCCTTTTTTTACCCTATTTTGACCCGAAAATCGAAGATTGACCTGATTTTTACCCTAAAGGTCAACTTCAGGTCATTCGTGTCGGGTCGGGTTGACCCGGACCCGAATCGGGTCTGTTCGGGTCCGAAAACCTGATCCGTTTTTAAAAATGGGTCGGGTTCGGGTTGACCCAAACAGTACCATGTCAGTTCCATATTCGACGCGAACCCAACCCGTTGACCCGAATTGACACCCCTAATCTAGATGCATTCGAATACTTGAAGAATGCATGAAAGCTGTTTGAGTTCTTTGCTATGCAAAAAAGATAGGAAAATAGAGTTTGATGCGAGTGGTTCTTATAGCAGAGGGTTACGGCTTGCACAGGCAGAATGGGGGAGAAAATTGGGCAAATTAGGACAAAAAAAAGTTTTTTAGAGGGACAAAACCTCAAAACAAACCCCTTATAAGTTAAATTTTTTTTTTTTTTAGGGTGATCACTTGTCCACCCTGACATACACAGCGTTCCACCGTTGAAGGCAAGCCATATGACTTAAGAGATTTTCTGATAAATTTAATTTGTAATGTTAATGACATCATGAATGTTTTGAACAGTTTTTTCAGATCTACATAAAATCTAGATAAGGAAGTTCCTTGCAAACTTGAACCTATTGATAAATGATTGTATTGTTAATAAGAACAGTTTAGTTGGACAATAGAATGAAGTACATGCAGCAGCAGTTTGTTTGCATGAAATTTTGAAAAATAATTAATAAGAGGTGATTTGATTATGTTAATTTTTCACTTGTCATGCATAGTTATGTTTGTTGCCTTTTATCTCTGGCCACTAATTCTTGATGTCCAATGCAAAAATATAATGCAAAGAATTTTTAATGCTATAATTTAATTGTTGGAGTTGACGCGAATTTGGCTCGACCCTTATTTGTTTACGTTCGTGACCCTTGTTTGTTTATATCAGGGTCCAAGGGGGTAGCACCCTTGGTGGACTTCGACTTGACCAAATACAAATCTCACCAAATAAAAAAAAAAAAACTAATCATACAACTTTTATTTTCTGGAAAGAAAATTGGCACAAACAAACTAGCTTTAGAAAGGGCTGACCAAACAAACAAAATTTAAAGAAAAACATAACCAATATTATATCTCCTAATGGATATTTGACCGCAAACAAATCAATCAACCATAAAAGAGAATTACTTGAAATTTTTCATAATGGTTCGACGAGCTTACAAGAAATGTGATGGAGCGTTTGAACTGATCGGTGGGTTGATGGTTTTGCGAGAGACAAAGACATGTGTGTTTTTGTGTTCGGCGAGCGGGAGATGATCGAGAACCACTAATGCGTTAAAGAGGAAGAAAGTGAAAGAAGTGAGGAGTGATGTGTTTTGCTTTAAATTGAGATTCATTTAGAAAGTACCTTCTTCGTGCGGCAAGCGGCTCTGAAATGATCGGGTTTGGTAGTCACTGAAAGGTCGAATGGAGTATTAATGGCAGGATTGTAAATGCATATGCGTGTGGAAGATATTTTTTTCATTACACCATGGTGCGACAGTCAAAAGTGAAACGACATGGTGAGGCAATTGGAAGTGAAAGGGTCGGTTGTGGTAGCCATCGAAATAGTCTAGTGGAGATGAAGTCTCTCAATTGTAAAATGGAGATATGCGTTTGTTAGGTTTTGTGTAGCCGTGCGGCAGTAGGAAAACAATTGGTCGGGTATGATACAGAAACGCTTGCGTTGGAATCGCTAGCATTGAGAACAGACGGGTGTGATAGAGATACCCTCACTGTGATACAGAAACACTCGGTTTGAAGGTTAGGATGTGAAATTAAATTTATTTTAAAAATACGAAAATGAAATAAATGATTGAATAAATGTTTTATAAGAATTGAAAAATGAAGAATATGAAGAGTCCTAAATGAAGGTTGTAGATTTATTTAAATTTTATAAATGAATGATCGGAATTTGCTATGGGACTAATTTCAAAGCCACACTTATACAGTTATACTAGTATATTGAATTATTGATAGTTTAAATTAAAATTTAAATTATATTATTTTTTTAATTTTAATTATATTAATAATGCTATAGGAAACCGTCTAGGGTTTGCTGTTCATCATCTTCGCGGGGTTCCTTGCTGTCGCTTTTCCTCGTCGTCATTACTTTTAGTTGCTTCGGCTTCGCGTGCTCTGCGTGCTTCGCGTGAAATATTTTTTTTATAGGGTCGCTAAAGGAGATTCTTGATCTCCTCCTCCGACGACGGATCGGACGTCACGACGGGAGGGGGCTCGCTCGCTGCGAAGGTACCATCCTTATCCCTTTCGCGCGCTTTTTCGGCAAATTCTGTAAATCCGCCGAATTCCATGATTTATTAAATCCGTGATTTAGGCCAAAAATAGGCTAACGGCGGATTTATCTAAGCCTGTAAAGATGGAATCGAATGACTCCGAGGGGAAGATGTCATCGTCAGTAGGATACAAGCTTGTCCCTTGGGTGAATTGGGACGAATGGAACTATGTTAGGAGGTCAATTTTCTCATCATCTCCTAACTTAATCTTAGCGGCCCTTCAAAAAGTAAGATGCCACCGTTGCTAAATTTTCCTCAACTCCATGCCCAAAATTGCTGCTTATGTTTAATGTTACTGCTTGCCGTCAACCCTACTTTTGCTTAGATATCTGCCTGGGAGAGCAGAGGTTGCCTACCCATTGCAATTGATTTGACGGCTGTAATTATCGAGATCCACCAGAAAGATCCATTTTTTAGGTATGAAATTTTATCCAACTTGAAATTTCATTATCACAATAGCAGAGTTTTACAATTTCTAATATTATTTTATGTTCTTTCATTGTAGAGGAGTTGGTTCCATTGGTGATGCTCTTGCGTCTGAGAAGATGCTAAACATGTTGTACTGCATGTTCATCATGAGGTGACTTTTAAAGTGATCGTCACTTTTGAAGATTCTCTACGTTTTAATCTTTTGGGGAAAATTTAATCTATTACCTTGCACTTTATAATTTCATTATTCTAGATAATATTGCTTTCATTTACTAGTAAAACATTACCAAAGGCATTTATATTTAATTGGCATAGATTCAAGGAGAACATGCATCTTGATTTTGAATGGACTTTAAAAGATTGGGAAGGGAGCCGTGATCCGCAAGATTGCAAAGCATGAAGGAAGGCTCTTTTATGCAAACAATTTTTATCCTTCTCTTATTTCATTTGTTGCCTTAGACATTCCTACTGATATATCACTTTTAACTATCATGCAAAATTTGTTAATTATTTTTTATTTGCATGAAATTTCTAATCTTTTCAATTGATTCACATGTGATAAAGTGTCTTTTTTGATGGATAAAAAAAATTCTTCATTAAAAGTTGTAAAGCTATCGATTTTTTAATGTCGGCTGATATGTTTTTAGTTTTTGCAATAGACTAGTCAATGATTTTGTTGAGCCCGTGCATAAGGAAACAGGGAGATCGATATCTGATATAGCTGATGCAATTGGTATTCCACGGACTCTTGTTGATATTCGTCATGGTGGGGAAGTTTTGTTGTTTTTCTAGTTTCATTAATGCATAGTCTGTTGAACTTATTTGCAAGATCAAACTATGACGTTTTGTCTTGCCTTTCCATTTTAGAGAGTTCTCATCGCTGTCTTCCTTCGCTCAAGTTGGCTCGTTCAGCCAGTGCAAAGGTTTGTTTCTATGTTGTAGTTGAGAATGCACTTTGGTTGCTATTGTTTCACACCACCTGCATATTCATGGGCCTTTAAAAATAAATGTCTACTTCTGTGATTAGTTTTTTTAGCAACAACAACAACAACAACAACAAGCCTTTATCTTACTATGTGGGATCGGTTACATGAATCATATTTCACCATTGTTTACGGTTTAGAGCATGGTTTAAAATTGCACAATATGAGGCTCGCCTTTGCGCAATTCCAGGTAAAAACGCCTCGATGCTTACGCCTTGTGTTTTTTTATGAGGCTTGCGCCTCAACTTGGTTGAGGCCCGCCTAGCCTCACTGGCATGAGGCTTACGCCTCACGCTATATATATTAAAACTTACATAAATCTTGAAGTAAATGTCCGACATTGAACTCTATAGGAGAGGAGGAAGGGGAGAGAGCAGTTCACCATAATGATGATTCAAATGCCCTTAGTGATGACAGTGTTGATGACTTATGAGTTTTTATGTGATATGTCATTGCTATTTATTTTTGGAAATTGGAATTATATGTTAATGAAAAGAATATTGGGATTTTGGGAAAGATAGAATTTTGAGTTAAACTATATTTCATGTTGTCGTATTATTGAGATATTTTGATTTCACTTCATATCATATACTTTTTTATGTTTTATATTATTCACTCATTATTATATAAAATTTTTATCATTTTATGTTTACGCAATCTTTGATTTTGAGGCTTACGTTTCAAAACGCCTTGAGGCTTACGCCTCGCCTCACGAATGAAAAACGCCTCAATACCCGAATACGCAATTTTAAACATTGGTTTAGAGTCAAATTCTCATCTAAATCTAATAAAGAAATGTCATTTCAAATATTTTCTAACCAAGTCTTTTTATGTCTACCTCTACTTTTTTTAACATATGTCATATCTAATAAATCTACTTTTCTAATTGGGTCATCGGAAGGCCGCTATTTTATTTGACCAAATAATCTAAGGCGACTCTCTCTAATCTTATCTTCTACTGGAGCAACTCCAACCTTTTCACGTATATGCTCATTTCAAGAGTAAAGCACTCGTCCACCTAAACATTCTCATCTCTGTAACATTTAATTTAATATTATGATTCTCTTTTAATGGCCAACATTCTACACCATAAAGCATTGTAGGTCTCACCACCATCTTATAGAATTTTCCCTTAAGTTTGAGAGAGATTTTTCTATCACACAACAAGCCCGATGCATTCCTCCATTTCAACCATCCAACTTGAATTCTACTAATAATATCCCTATCTATTTCACCGTCAGTCTAAACAATAGTCCCATTATATCTAAAATGTGTACTCCTATTAATGACTTGATCGTCCAAAGTCACAACCCTCCACTAGACCTATTATTACTCAAATTGCACTCTATAGATTTAGTTTTAGATCTACTCAAACGAAGCCTTTAGACTCTAAGGTTGACCTCCATAATTCAAGTTTTCCTTCAACTCTCTCTCTAGTCTTATCAACAAGAAGAATATCATCAGCAAAAAACATACACCATGGTACATCCTCTTACAATTGTCTAGTGAGAACATCCATGACTAAAGCAAAAAGGTATGGGTGTAAGGCTGCTCCTTGATGTAATCCAATTGAAATATGAAAGTACTTGGTCAAACCACCTTGTGTTTGAACACAAGTAACAACTCCTGCATACGTATCCTTAATGACTTGAATATAAGCATTATTAATCCCTCTCTTATGTATAACTCTCCAAAGCACTTCTCTTAGAACTTTATCATATGCTTTCTCTAAACCAATAAAAATTATATGTAGATCTTCCTTATTCTCTCTATACTTCTCCATCAAACTTCTCAATAAATGTATAGCTTCCATAGTAGACCTACCAAGCATGAATTGAAATTGATTTTGAGAAACATTAGTGTCACGCTGCAACTAGGGGTGTAAGTAAGCCGAGCCCGCTCGCGAGCCGGCTCGTGCTTGACTCGTTTATGGGCTCGCGAGCCGAGCTTATCGAGTTCACGAGTCGGGCTCGAGCTCGTTTAGTAAACAAGCTAACAGGCGATAAAATCAAAAGCAGGTGGGAAAGTGACGAACTGAAATTGCGCCGCTCGCAAGCGGCTCTATAAGCTCAATATATTATCGCGAGTCGAGCTCGAGTTCGAGCTGGGTATTTGACTTGCGAGTCGAGCTCGAACACCCCCTGACTCGAGCTCGACTTGACTCGTTTATACCCCTGGTTGCAACCTATGCTCCATAACTCTCCCATAATTTTAAAGTATGAAACATAACTTAGTTCATCTATAATTTGCACAATCTTGTGCATCACCTTTATTCTTAAATACTGGAATCAACACACTCATTCTCCACTCATCTCGCACCTTTTTAGTCTTCAAAATAATATTAGAAGTTTAGTAAGCCAAGAAATTCCTTCATCTTCTAAACATTTCCACACCTCTATTGGAATATCATTTGGTCCAATAGCTTTTCCACACTTCATTTTCTTTAAATCCTCTTTATTTTGATTTTACTAATACGCCGATAAAAAATAAAAATATTTATTTTCATTTAGGGTGTTAAGTTCATTAAAGTCAATCGCATTCTCACAATATTCATTGGAAAGTTTAGTAAAATATCTCATCCACCTTTATTGAATATCCTCCTTCAATAAAAGCACTTTTTGATCTTCATATTTAATACACTTTACTTGAACTAAATCCTTACTATTCTTATATCTTAGTTTAGCTAACTTATACATATATATTTGGTCTTGCTTAGTATCTAATATATTATATAAATCATTAAAAGTTAAAAATTTTGCATCGCATATTGCTTTCTTAGTATCTTTATTTTCTTTGATTAGTTTTTTTAGCATTGATACAATATTTTATTTACCACTTCCAATACTTTATACTTAAATTTTGGGCATCTAACATTTTCCATATTCTTTAATTCGTGATTTTAATGGTTGTTTTCTTTAAATATTTGCTGTCATCTTTAGGCACTTGAGTGGCTAAAGGCTAATTACTGGGAGCCTCAGAGAATTGCAGTTCACGATCCTAGAAGAAAAGTAAAATCTAGATTACGTGAGATGATCTTATGTTCTGCAGCCCGTCATGTTTCAAGAGTGAATTCAACAAACCCCAAAAGAAAATGTGAGTAAATTCGATATGCTTTCTAACATGGAAAATGTTGGGCATTTAAATCCCTTTTACTATGTTACCTTTTCATGTGATATTCAGGGCATCCCGTCTTTAAATTCTATCAAAGATATTTTCTATCTTGGTATTAGTAATCCTTATTTAGCTCAATCGGCTTTTCTTTATGGAATGTACAATTTTTTTAGTTTAAACAGTCGCCTGGAGTGTTCCAGGGGATTTTTTTTCCTTGCTTCTCTTTAAAAAATAAACAGCTATACGAATGTTCACCCAAAACGAACTAGTTTTAAAATGTTTACGAGCACTAAAGGCTGCAGTTTTTTATCCCATACATTGTTTATATCAGGCTTCTAACATTATACCTCATTTGGTTAATGATATTTCCTTTCTTAAAATTAAGTTATTTAAAATTTAGATATTTGAAAAAATTTTCAAATAGTCAAAGGCTTGTTCCTGTCTTTAAGTGCTTGGAATTACTCTGATCTAGGTCTGAAATTAAAAAAAAAAAAAAACAATCAGCTAGAAAAACAATACCTTCGAAGAGTTAGAAACAAAAAGTAAAGCCTAAATCCTTGGTTTTGAGTTATTGTTGCATTTGTCCATAATTTCTCACAACATGCTATAGCATAATAGTTCTGCTGAATTAGAACTTTCTTGTGAAGCGAATGGAAAATTAAATCAATTAAATTACAAGCTGTTTCGTCTTCTATTTATGTTTCCATTAATAAAGAACAACAATTGAATGAATGAACCTTTTTTGCTTTCCTTGGAGGTTTAGAGGAAGGAGTAAGCTCCAAGATTTTGCAGGGGCCAATGTTGAATTAGCCCTTCAATTTACCGACTTACATTGGCCTATTACTTAAAAATATTCTATACTTTATTCCTTCTTCTTTTCTTACGTTTTGATTGCTTTTTGTGCAGACTGTAAGAGAACTGCCCTTCTTGTAGCATGCCATAAGCTCTCTCATATAAACAAAAGGCTTCTGGCTTCTAAAGCAGATGGTACTTAATTGTTTCAATTCATGATTTTTAGCTTTAATAATATTCGTTGCACTAGTGCATCTCTAATGTGCGAAGGTAATTCTATCACCATGATTGTATTGTATATATGAGTTTTTCTATAAGACATGTTATATTTTTATCTTTTTTCTATAGTGCCTTGAAAGACTGAAGTTGTTGAAGAGTTCATTTTTCAGTAATTCACATGTGTCTTTAGATTTGGTAGTAATTTTTAATTTGTAGGAATAACTATCACAAAACTATTGTTAAATGATAATGTCTGCATATTCAACATGACACATAAGATTCCCTCTGTTTTTGAATATTCTAGAAGTTGGCTTATTTGAGTTGCACTGTAGCATATCAACAAACAAATTCCAAATGAGTTTTAGATGATTTCATAGATCTTGATGGCATTTTTGTTGGAATTTGCAGTTTTAACTGTGCAAAAAGTTACCAAAAGAGCTGCTCATCTTTACTCCCTGTATCCGTCAGAAGTTGTGTCCTTGTTGCTGGAAATTTTCCTCTCACAAGCATGGGATTTCTCTGATGGCATTGACATGGAAAACTCCGATGATTCCGATTGCAACATTTTCAAACAATTCACAGGCTCCCTACCTGATTTAAAGATGTTAATAACTAAACTCTCCAAGAAGAAGCCAAGATTTTTACTCAACATGCTGAAGTTGGTCCTTGAGATGATTGAAGAAAAGGATTCTAGGAACTTTGAAATTGGTAGTACTTTTAATTCCAGTCATCTTTTTAGTTGATTTAGTCAAATTTAATCTTGCAGATCTTGATAGAGCATTTACTAGTTTTTCAAATTGTATTTCAATTTATCTTAATGTCAATGCATGTTGCTCTTGTAGAACTATCATACTTAATAAATTTCTTGAGTGTTTGTTTGGTTGCAAGTATTAAGAGCGTTTGCATCATTTTTTTTCAGTATTTTCAGAGAAAAAGCAACATTCAGAGTAAAATTCTAGGGACTTTAATACCTCAATAAATCAATTTTGCTTGCAAAAGAAAATCACCCAAATTAGAGAATTTTTGTTTACTTTGTTTGATGTGAAACGTACATGTGAAGATGAGTGGTTTTCGGAAATTTGCACGCTTAATATTTCAAGAATAATATTAAATAAAACTTATGCCGATTTAAACAATAAGCTAAAATAATAAGGCGATAAAACAAGCTTAGATTAAATTACATGCATATGAGTTAAGATCGTAAAATAGTCAATTTAATCTAACATTGCATACATGAAAGGGTTTTCACAATAAATCCCAATACTAACAATAAGATTAGGCACGATGTAATAATCCCTCACTCAACTCTCTTGTAGTATTAGGTTTTAGCGAAGAAGAACTAGCATGCTCATAGTGAATCAAAGTACAACCACAATAGAGTAATAGACTAGGAAGATATGAGAGTTGGGGAAGAGTTCACCCGTAGAAGATGAGGTGTGAAGCTCCTGTGTGATCATTGGAGTGTTGGGGGAGAAGTAGACAGCAATCTGACATTCCTAGCTGCTTTGAACAGCCTTTGGGAGCCTCTCCAATTAGCGGGATAGCAAGGGGACGGTGCGGGCTCCTCTGGACAGCAACCACAGTAATTGGGACAGCATTCTGGACTTGTGGAGAACTCTGGACAGCAAGTTCTCAGCTCACAAAATTCTGGACAGCACGTTGGAGAGGAGAAATTCAGGATTTGCCATCTTCTGGATGCACAAAAGCTGGGGAAATGTGGTGGGGAGTTTTGTGGACAGCTATGGGAATAATGTTAGAATTTAATTACTTGCTTAGGTGGCACGTGTAGTTAAATTCAGATTAAGTGAAATTGGCGGGCTGAATTTGAATTTAAATTCAAATTCAAATGGAGAGAATTAAAGTGGAAGAGAGAAATTGGGGGAGGGGGGAGGCGGCATGGGGAGGTGATTAAGGAGGCTTAATTGGGAGCATTTAATGAAAGTGGATAGAGAGAGGGAGGGCCGGCCATATGGGAGCTAATTTGGGATTTGATTTAAGATATGTGGGCCCAAGGGATTTAGCTAATTGGAAAAAATCAAATATGAATTTAAATTCAGATTTGATTAAATTAGGGAGGTAGATATTTGAAATTCAAAAATATGAATTGAATTAAATTAAATACCCTTTCCTAATTGAGGGAAGTTATTTTAGGAAGGTATTTGTGGGCTTTGGGATTTGAATTTCATGATTCCATGGGAGAGGGAGAGGTGGCCGGAGGCATGGGGGTGGAGATGGGGATGAGCCGTGGTGGTGACGGTGGCTTTGGGAGGGGCGGCCGACGGCTGGGTAGGCCAAGGCAACCGGCGGGTTGGGAGAAGCAGGGGTTCGGTTTAGGGGGGGTGCAGGCCTGCGGGTTTTGGGGTGTTGGGATAAGGGGGAGAGGTCGGAGGAGATGCGAGGAACAAAAAGTAGAACTGCGAACCTTGGACCCTTCCAAAGGTTGACGGGTATTGCGATTGCCCACACCTTGGGTCTTCCTTCTTCTCTCAAAAACTCAACATTGAGGGAGACAGAGAAATCTGGATTTTGATTAATCTATCATCATCCCAAATTACAAGTGAGCTAGCCTATAAATAGGCCCCATGAAAAGAAAAGAAACAAAGACTAAAATACCCTTCGGGCTACAACACCACATGACCACCCCTAGGGGTAAAATAGGAAAAAAAAAACTAGTACATAAGACTCATAAAAAATAAAATAAACTTCAGATCGTAGCCGTTGATCTTCTGATGTCCTCATCATTGTTTCTCATGGTGCTTTCGCTCTCCCTTTTACCCATCTTTCAATTATGTCCCTTATTTCCTTTGCCTTCCCCTCACCATGTTGTCCATCACAATGCCTCCCTTCATCCCTGAATTTTCCATTCATCATGCATCGTGATTTTCATTCGCTCACCGCCTTTTCCCGCAACCTCCCGTCCCTCATTTTGCCTTCTCCTCTAGACTCCCTTCGTGGCTAGTGACTAATGTTTATATAGCATGTTAGTAGATTTCTTTGCTTCACTGGAATAAATCTCATATATGTTTGATGTGCTACATCTTAGTCAATTAAAAGAAATAAAAATAGATGGATAAGTCTTTGAAATTAATGATGGTTTAAGTAATCTGTAAGCAATTTTTATGAAAACAATAAAAATAGAAATAGAGATTTGTATCATATTATTAGACCTTTTATGGACTGAATATATAATAGATATAATCATCAAGTTAGCATGTCAGATATAATCTCACCAGTAGACTACCTTCTCTCAATCTTCCTCTGTCTCACCATTGACAATCTTGCTATAATAATAATAATAATGTAATTTCAAAATGCATGAATTCATAATACTTTACAACCAAACACTTGAGCAACTGATTTGCAACTTATGCTCCCTTTTTTTTATTTCTATTCTCGTGTGTCTGCTTATCTGCTTTATAAGCGATTAAACAATTCCAAACAATTAGAATACATTGCATTTAACACATTGTATTTTCAAAATGCATGAATTCACATTACTTGCAATCAAACAACCCTTAACTAAGCAACTGATATGTAAGTTGTGCTCTCTTCTCTGATTTATTTCTTGTTTCACTTGGTGATCTGTCCTTCAATAAATGATGGGAAACTGAATGAGTATTATTCTCTTTCTTAGTGCTTGCTTTCTCTAGAATTAGTTAAAAGGAATGTAACCTGTGTATGCTAGGGTTCTTGCTTTCATTAATCTTGATAATAAGAACTTAATTGCGTTTCTTTACCTCTGCAGATTGGAACCACTTCCTTTCCTCACAAAATCAGGTCCAGATGAATGAAGTTTCTCATCTTCGTTCACTGCTTACCTTTCTTATAAGAAATCTAAAGGCATTGAAGGATTCCGGGCAAATAAGACTCGCTGAAGAAAATCAAATTCTTTCTATAGATAATGTTGCTGCGCCAAAAGTTCTCCTCTCAAGCCTTCTCCATAAATGCCTTACTTTGTTGGTTCCAGGTGATCAGAATCTGTTTAAGTCAGCGCTACTTCTTTCTGAGATGAGTGGAAACAGATTATTGACTGAGGAACTCAAGAAACTCCCTTTGTTAGCCTTTCTGGACCAGGACCTGGATCCCTTGGCCACTTTAAGCTATAATGAGAGTATGCTTTTAAAAGAGGAGGATTCTATCAAGAAAGCAGAAGAAAGATTGAATCTTATAAAGCTCCATCTCCTGAATGATAAAAATAAAGGTAAAAGGTTTACGAACAACACTGCTGATGCAACAACAAGGTGGAAAGTCACCAAGTCATGGGTAGCTTGCCCCATTGGCACATTGCCTTGCTCATTCAGCTCCACAGTCGTTCTTCCAATTTTTGATTTCATGGAAGTTGAAAGAGAGATGGATAAATCTAAAACAACTAGCGATAACGTTGAGAATGTTTGTGCTGCTGAAGAAAATAGAATGGTTTGTGATGATAATGAGTCTTCTGATGATAGTAATCCTGTAAAAATGTTGAAGCTGACACCACAAAATGACGATTCGCTTGCACTGGAGAATCCCTGCCCCATGCAAGGCAGGCTGTTAATTGGTGGTGTATGGAAGAAGGTTAGTGAAAACGAATTACTTTCCTTAGATGCGGATATCAGAACTTTTGTATAAGTGGATAGATATTGGTATTATGGCATATTTATTTGTTTGGTGTAATATAGCTGATTTTTTTTGGCAAACAGTTCTGCTAATCTGCTATATCAAGCATATCTGCTTCCATACTAATAACCTATCAAACACCTAATGATTCTAACACCCATAATAACACTGCTACATCTGAACTGCCAATTAAAGCAGACTCACACACACATCGCATACACGAAATATAAATCCAAGACCTCTTGGTTGATAGCTTAAGCTCCCAACAAACAGACCAAAATGAATTGTGTTTGTTCAGCTTATTGATTAGAATTTTAATAGCTTTAACAGATTTTTCTACCATAAGAAGTTCTAATTTTGTCCTTGATTTTTTATTATATATTCCCCTAATTTTATGTCTGTTCATTTGCTTTGGTAAGTGATGCACTGAAGTTGTAATCCATCTCAAAGATCTTCTCCAGTTATATTGTTCTTTTTTGTTGCTATTTATTGAGTAATTTTTATACATTTATTTGATGAATCAAAAGCCTTCTCTTATATCCTTAATATGTGTTAATGACATAAAATAAGAATTTGAGAAGCACCTTTTTAAGAAATACTCGTCTCAAAGAATGGAACAGATCTGTTAATAGCCGTTTTATGCCCCTCCAACATTGGAGCAATTATTACGTCCGGTCAAATCCGAACGTATCCGAATGTATACCGAGCAATACCGAGTGCTCAATACCGAGTTTCAGGTGACGTGACGCGTGTTTATTGGTCTATGAATGCATTCGGTGACTGGACGTAATAATTGCTCCCAACATTGGCTATTAAGCTCAAGGGGCTCTCTGCTTCAGGTATGATTCCTGTTCTCCGGATAGATTTCCTTTCTTCCTACTCTATTTTGATGTGTAATATTATGTTCATTGTTGAGCTTCTCTGCAACTTTCTAATGAACTTAAACATGTAATGCCCCAAAAACGATCCATAATTAAATCTGGAAGAATTGTCTATTTATCATTTTAAGAATATATCATAATTTCTATAAATCGTCAGTATAAAATATAAATAATACCTAACGAAAATAATTAAAATTATATGCATTAAGATATTTGATTATTTTCTTATAAAAAATATCATTTATATTAGTCATGAGATCACTCTATAAAAGAATAGAATAAAAATTAATTATATTTATTTAAAAGAGTTCTAAAAAATATCTTTTTTTAGCAACTTTCATGACGATATTTTTCAATTACAATTTTTGGAATGTAAAATATAAAATTTAATAGTAATTAAGAATTAAATGTTGACCTCACGAGTTTAGAACACGACTTTAATATTTTGATGATCATAAATATAATTTAGTTGACCTATTTTTTTACTGAATCTTGTGATAACATAAATTTTATTTTTGTAATACAAATATAATTGAAAATATATGTATATTGTTAAACATGTTTAAATATGAAAAATACATAAAAATATATATATATAATTAATTGCATAGGAGAAGAAAGAGAGAAAGAGAGGACCATCCAAAGGATTCAGCTGGATTTTATTCCAGAATTCATCAATCGTCCATGAAACACCATCTAACATACTGAGTAAATGATTCCCATAATCCATCCAATTCACATAACCAACGGTCAAATCATATAAATATCAGTGCAAGGATGGAAAATTATTACGTCCGGTGTCTGGATTCGTCCATACATCAATCCAGACGTGTCATGTGACCAAAATACACCGGGAGCCAATGTATTCGGGTGACATGGCTCATCTGAATTGGGTGTCCGGATGTCCGGTGACCGGGCGTAATAATTCGTCGTAAGGATGAGAAGGAAATATATGGATATGCACCAAAACTCACAGAAATTCCATCCTTTAAAGGAAAGAAAACGGTGCAAAATAACCAGTCCAAAATCCACTGCCCATAGCAGCCATAACAAACGCACAACCAAACCCGAGAAACTGTCAAGAGAAATAGACAAAGAACAGGGTCAAACATTAATGAATTAAATGAGGCTCTACCCTTGCTTCCATTTGGAAATCCTTGAGATGATAGTTTTTCTAATGCTGCAAATAGTAAGATAGAGAAAATTATTATACCCAGGAATAGAAAACCTTAAACCAGCCGCTATATCCAAGACCTGGAGCAATGTGGGTCTTAAGAGAAGAATGCTAAAATCATTAGAGAAGCTTGCCAAAACCAGGAAAGAGTAATCACAATTAAAGAAGAGGAGACTAACACTTTTAGATTCCAAGAATTCCCATTTATGAAACTAGCGCAACTGTAATTTGGCCTTCGGTAAGATGATAGTCACATTACATAATGTTGTAATGCTGATGGGTTTAAGAGTTGGTGGTAATGTTGTGATTAGTCTATCACAAGTCGGAATAGAAAAATGATGAAATAGTTGGCCGGACTACTGAGATGATTTATTAGGGGGCATCTTTAACCAAATATGTTGTATCATGAACCAGCTGATCCTGAAGTTTCTGCAACCTTTAGGGTGAGTTAGGCTCATTCCCAAATATGCATGTCGTTAAGATGGCTTCGCTGGACATTATTTCGGGAAAGTTACATAAAAAATGGATGATGTGCTCTTTTGGTTTCTTGTACGCGCCTACATTCTCTTCAACACTAGTTGCTTCCTTCTGTCTAATACTTTAGGATTGGAGATACACCTCCAATACCCCCCATTATTAGAGGACATTGAAGTGTTCAGAACTTACTCGTTAGGCCGCAGTGCTTGCCCACCTGTACAAGGAGTTATCAGAGGCTATGAAACCTAATAGGGCGAAGATTGCTAGTTGCATTCATTTATTACAAATTTGATCATGGCAGCATATACATGTGGGGCGTCCTAGGCTGGACGTTCCAATCCCAGAGATACTAGAGGGGGCTAACATCTAGGTGGGTATGAAATTTTTGGCCACCAAACCTTAACCTTTCATGTTTAATTTTGCTTGTTTATTACGATGAACTTACAAAACGTGGTCTTTTTCTAACATATAGAATGAGGAATAGCCTAGGGAAAGACCAGTAAAAAATGTAGACATATATAAGATGAACGTAATGGTTTACTCCACAATCTGGTTAGACTAAAACAAATAATTTTAGATGTACTCATTTGTAGAAGGATATCCATAAGAATTAATGTTGCAAGTCAGATGGGAGCCATACATAGAGGCCATATGCACTCGTTTAGCACGTATATGCCTAGAATGTATGTACATTTGGATGGCTCGGGCACCATTGATTTGTTAAAAAAGAGTATAATTGCACCTTCTTGACTGGGTGATTCGCTTATTTGGATACTTTCCCAAATGGACGTATTGCCAATGAAACATTTTTTGTCAAGGTGGATGTGCGATGCAAAGTAGATGTGCTTTATCATCAGTAATATATCACTATATGGGAGGGTAGAAGGGAATTATTGGTGCATGGCCAAAGTGGAATTGATGCAGGGGATCGTGTATTGAACCAGTACATGCATTGGTATACTTCATGGGCTACGTTATACTTACTGAAGGTGCTCTGCCATGCACGTGATACTTACTTTGCAAGGGCTCTAGTAGAACGACTTATGATAAACACTAACCCCAACTTATTAATTAAAGTTTATCTAATCATCGCATACATATTATAGAATATTATTAATTCTATATTATAGTGGGAGCATATCTTGGAGACTGAGGATGTATTTTGACATTTTTTAGGTAAGATTCCAATTCCGACATGCAAAGAGCTATAACCAAATATGAAGAGCTCTACAATGCACTCTGGAGCCAAAATATACATTATAGATACTCGATACCGTGAACAACCTGATTACACTGCCACCGATTTAAAAAGTTCAGCTACATATGACAGCCCCTCAGACTTTTGTGTAGGACAATCTTCACATGGAGACCTTGGACCACCCCAACAATTTAGCAGTGCTCCCATAGATGGTTTGGGTATCAGGATCGAGTACTAGCAATGGACAACCACTGAGAAACATTGGGGTCCATCTGATGTAGGTAATTCATCACAACAGTGTACCCCAGCGCCTACTCAGTTCTTCACTCCAACGTATATCCCACCATCTACAAATCTTAGTGTGCATGTCAGTGATGACCATTCTACTGATCATGTCGAAGAACATCATGAGCTTCGTGATAGGCTAGTTCGTCGTCCGGATCACTACACCCAAGGCACAGATGCATTGCCCCCTAGACATAAAAAAAAAAAACGATAGGTTCAAGCTTCGCTAGTTGTTTTACATTATGTCCTGCATCAGCCTTGTTTTTTTTTTGTAATGCTTAACACAACTAATAGCTCACATATTTTCAATACTATTTACATATTTCGATACATGATTTTTCTGTGTCGGCAACTTAAATCTTTTTAATTAAAAGGTTTAGTAATGTATCATCTACATCATAGAAGTTAAAGTAATTTCATGAAATTTAATTAATAAGTTTAATTATATGACCATACTCTATAACCATATACAAACCAATATAACTCATACATTATTTCCAAAAAACTGCAATTTATAATTCACTAAATAAATTGATTTAGATTTATGATTAAATGTCTTCAAACATCATTTATGTTGAGAAAATATGGTCGAAAATAATATATCAAAACTGAAATTTATCCTAATCACTTGCTTCAAAATTAATTAAAATAATTAATAGATCCAAATATTCAGATATCAAATTAATTTAGCTCTTAAGTGAAGTGAGATATTTTTTTTTTCAAATTAAAATAAGAGCTTCATTCTTCATATTGAATAAGCCAACACATTAAATTAAAAAAAAAATTAAATAATCGAAGGGTTCCACTAACTAATTCTTAGATTTTTAATTGTGCTGAAACTCATAGGCCCACCCCATTTTCTACCCACACGCTCAACCCGCTCTCCTAAACTGGCCCGCTGGCCAACCCAGCTACCAAAACAACCATAGCATGGGTGACTGATCAACAGGCCCACCCCATTTACTACATCCACTTTTCTCTCCTCTTTCGTGAGAAGAATGAGGTATATTTATAATTTTTTGGAAGTAGCATGCGCCGTAAATATGTAGAAGTTCAAGTGCATGTTGGGAGTGTTTCAATGAAAGACTCGTAT